GAAAGTTCACACATGGCCCCCCCACCCACACATGTATACTCCCCTGCCCTCAACATCCCTCATCAGTGTGGCATATTTGGTACAATCGATGAACCAACATGGACACGTTATTATCAACCACAGGCCATAGTTTACATTAGGGTTCACTCTTGACGTTGTACATTCTATGGGCTTTGACAAATGCATCATGACACGTAGCCACCACTACAGTATCATACAGAATAATTTCATTGCCCTAAAAATCCCTTGTGCTCCATCTGCTCACCCTTCCCTCCCTCCCTTTCCCCAGACCCCGGGAAACCACAGTCTTTTTATTGTTTCTGTAGCTGTGCCTGAGGTACGTAGCATTATCTACATTTTTTTGGATGAAGAAATTGAAACTGAAAAAGATTAAGTGACTTGCCCAAGGTCATGTGGTTGGCAGGCTGGGGGACACCAGCTTGGCCTGTAAAATGTGTTTTTACCACAAGCTGCAGCATCTCTTCTCAAGACCAAAGCTTGAATGTGCTAGTTTAGAATGTGAGTGCTCAGTTTTACCAGCATGAGATATCCGTCCTTCCGGACCATCTCATAACCAGCAGGAGCATGTAGCTTGCAAGAAGATTCTGCTGTCACTGTGTTTTGTAATAGGCACTATTAGGGCAGAGCAGTATGACCTAAGGTATAGAATGGGATTGGTCCAATGTCTAGGAGCCCCTCCACTATCCTTATCCTTTTTAAAATTCTCAGGTCAAGTCCAGTTAGGCTATTGCCATGAAGATTCACTTGCCTTTTAGGCAGCGATTCGCAGAGATACTGGCTAACTGTGCTCAGAAGCTACCTCAAAGTTGTTTCAGGGGTTGCCAGCAGCCATGAAATTATACTAGGCATAGTTTCTGAACTTGAAATTGTGACAGTTCTGTCGTCAGGGACCCTTTAAGTGCCTGTTTCACCATGAACTCCCTTTTGAGAAAAGTGCGTGTAACGCCTGACTATAGTGTTTGCCAACTCAGATGCCTACAAGGGTCAGGTACCTAAGTAAATGAGTGAAGGTGGTTGACGGTTGGGAGATGTGGGGACTTTGTTGAACTAAAGTGCTTATGGGCCTTGAAGGGGGTCACTTACCACTCAGTGTCTATTGATTGTGGTTAGTGTTTTCCGATATTCCAGTTTTTCAAGGGCATCTGGAAATCAGGGTTTATAGATGAACATTTTCTATTTAAAAATGTTGGCTGAACATTAAATTAAAAAAAAATACTGTGTGAGTTGATATTGAGCAAACTGGACCAAACAGATCTGTGGCTGGTTCCAGCCTCCTTGTTGCAGTCAGCACCCTGCACAAAGGTTTTGTGCTTAACCCGCAGCCCCCGTGCGCTGCGCTCTGGCCACTGGACAGAAAACGGCACTGGAGCAGTTTAGTTTTTCCTTGGAAGCAATTTACAGGAAGCATTCTCTTCCACAGGGTAGCCTAGAACTGGAGGGTGACTGTTCGGCTCAGTCAGGTCCTCACTCTTGTGGACTTGGACCAGAAGACAGTTAAGTCACAATAACAGGAGGAGACACAGAAACTGAGACTCGCCAAGAAACCCTAATGGCAGAGCATTCACACTGGATGGCCATCGCTGAGAGGCTGATCACGTGATGGAATGGCGAGTGCTTTTGCTGTGTGCGGTGGTGGGTTGCTAGAGCTAACATTGCTTTCTGAATGAACATCAGGTTTTTCTTGATGTCTTATATGCTTCTTAATGTTTTATCTTTGCAGTAAAATCCATTGCCCAAGGTAAACCTGGGTTTCTGGGGAATCTAGTAATTTCAGAGATGCTGGCCAGGGTGGCAGTCAGGAGCCTATAGGTATATTATTTTGTAGTAGAACATCTATTCTTCCTCACAATGATTGGCTCTGTTGACCATGTGATCGTGCCCTTCCTGCTGATTGGATAAGCGGGGAATACCTCAGCCAAGTTGAACCAATCAGATTCTATACCTTGTGAGTTTGAAGCCATGTTAGTTCATTCATGACGAATGCTTGAAGAGATAATATAAGCTTAGGACTTGAGACTCTTCTTGTTGGATGGCCATTTCTAGTAAAATTCATTAACACAATTTATAAGGCCCAGCCAGAAGTGACTTCTGCTTCCTTTTCTAGCCTCATCACTCACCCATCTCCCTGACACCATCTGCTCCAGACATCCTGGCCTTCTTTCAGGTCTACAGAAGGCTGTGGTCATACTGCCGCAGGGCCTTTGCATGTGCTATTCTTTCTCCCCAGTGACTAGTTAGCTCCTATGCAACCTTTCAGATCCCAGCAAAGAACACTTCTTCAGAAAGATCTGCTTTTAAGCTTCAGATTAGATCAGAGTCCACCATTCTCCCCTCACCCCTCTTTATACACTTTTGTGGCATTCTACGTTTTCTATTTCTTCATAACATTTATTCACTAAGATTTTCCTTCCTGCATCATTTCCTTGTCACAAAAGTAGTTAAGAGCATTATTCTGGGGTCAGATTTTTGGGCTCAAATCCTGGTTCTACTGTTTACTGGGTGCGTGACTTTGAGCATGTTACTTAACCTCTCCTAATCTTAGTCTGGTCACCTGTGAAATGAAGATGGTAATGGTAGCCAGAATGTATTCTCATTTGGGGCAGCTGCTGGGTTTGAGTGATCTTTCCATCTTTTTGTGTGCCCTCAGCTTACACTTACAGAAGACAAACGCTCTTTAGAGTATCAATTTAAATGTTTTTATTCCTAGTATTTCTTTCTGCTATTATGTAACAGAAAGGAGGTTCTGAGCTCATTGTCTCAAGAAAGTGATGGTGCATCAGAAGGAGAAACAAAGAGTCCTTCCTTGATATTTGTATTTCAAAAGTCTAGGCATTTAGAGGGACTCCGAAAAGATGTATATGAACAGACTACCCCAGAGATTTGGGAAAATGCAAAGGAGGAAAGAGACATAAACAGCCCTACTGAGTTTCCAGAAGTTCTGTCTGGCATAGAAACAAAGAACAACCCCGAGTGTTTAGGAAATTAGCCAGGAGAAAGCCAATGGTCACGAATAGGGCTGATACATTCCACATGTGAGTGAATCAATGATTGAAGACAGGGAGGGGGACCAAAAAAGGGAGACAGCTCAGTCAATGCCTGTGAGGTTAAAATAGCAAACCAAATCAGATGCCCTCACCTCAATGACGTAGCAAGTCTCTATCAAATCCCCTCAAATTGGAGATAACCCCTCCCAAAGGTGAGGGACTCCTCAACTCCTTGAGATTAAACCTCCAGTTATCGCCGAACTTGCAATAGAAATAAAGTTCAGAAGTTAAATCATACTCTCACACGTTTGACCTTGGAGACTAACATTCTTATGTATTTTCTAAGGAGAGTATATAATGAGGTTTTTTGGGGCCATTTGGTAAAAAATCGCATCTTTTCTGTTGTAGTTCACAGTAGGTGCTCCAGAGGTAACCAGACCACGCACAACCCTTTGAGTTCAAGCATCCTTCCCTGGACAGTCTTGTCAGCAGTGGCAAGGGTGACGGGTGACTATGCCTTATTAACATTTATGGCAGGTCTGGCAAGGAAGGCCACTTGGGACCACTTTCCTAGAAGAGTGACTGGGTGTGTGGCAGGCACTTAAGAATTTGTGAACTTCTTAGAGATAGGGTATCTTTAGGCCATGAGGCTTTAAGGAGAGAGACAGGACATTTAAGTAGATTAGGATTCACAATATTGAGTCCCACTGGGTGCTCTGATTAATTTCATATAGGGTTTTTTTTAGTATTTTTAGGAGAGTATTGTTAGAAATTTGGCACTGTGTATGAGGGTTGGGGAACTTTGAGGTGAAGCTGGGTGCCCATAAGGTATAGGTTTCAAAACATAGGATTGGTACAGAGTGGGGAAATCTTAATTTGATTTTTGCTATATTAATAGATTGAGGATGATGAGATATCTGGTCTTCTTGGTGAGGCCAGAGGATAGTTGAAGAGGAACATATATAAAATAGAAAGCAATTAAGAGCACGAACTATTAAAAAAAAAAGAGACAGAAAGTGAACTATGTTATATGAAGGATGGCTGAAGGATCTGGAAATATTTACCCACAAGAAAGAGCGCTGCCAGTAACATGATTGTCAGCTTCAAATATTCAAAAGCCTGTCACTTGGAAGAGGGATTACACTTATTCATTACGGCCCCAGGCCAAATCTAGGTTCATTTGGTAGGAGTCATAGAAAGGCAACTTTTAACACACAACACAGAGCAGGCAATTCAAATAGAGTTGTCTGAGGACTGCATGGGCTGAGTTCATGGCCAAAAAAGGAGATCAAGCATAGGCTGGCAGCAATGTCATAGAAACAAAGTGGTGCAGTGTATTAGCTGAGACTTCGAGATGGAATTGGGTTCCAGTTTTGGCACTTACTAAATATAGGACATTTAACAAGTTGCTTCATTTTTCTGCTTCAATTTCATCATCTTTAAAATGGAGAGAGTGCATAGTTGTTGGCAAGTTTTAAATTAAATTATTAACATTAGTCCTTAGTTGTCTGGAAAGGGGATGTGTGTGTGTGTGTGTTTGTGTGTGTGTGTGTCTGTGTCTGTGGCATTTCTGGTTCTTTCTAACCTGAAGTTCTGTGACTCCAAAGTCTTTCCCGGAGAAAAGCTGAAAGAATGAGCTATTTTTCTGCTTTCCTTAGCTGCTGCCCAGTATTTTGAAATGAGCTTAAAAGCCTTTGGAAGTGCTCCAGTTTCTTATGCAATTGTTTGGATGTGGTTTTCTCCAATCACAAATTCAGTTTAACAGGTAGAAAATATTTGACAGTCATTCTGGTGCCACCTAAGACTGAAAAGTGTCCCTCCCTTTGCTTGTGTGGAATGAGGTCTGAGGATTTTCTACCAAGGAGTTGAAAAAGACAGAGAAGGATGAGCAGTCACACTTGTCCCCTGGTTAATAGTACAATTTGATTATGTTTACATGTCAGGCTTGTGTTTGGGGACCTCTGAGCCTCTGTGTACGTTTATCAAATTGCAAACAGCACCACTTATGCGCAGCTGGTGATAAACCACTACCACATAGCTGAATAGCTCTCCCAGTAGAGGCTGATTATTTCCCAAGATAAAAGCTGGCTACCTGATGCCAAGGCAATTCATCAATTCAGTGACAAAAAAAAAAAAGAATTCAGACAAACCACTCTTTTGGTGTAGTGTGGGGTGAAGGGGTGAACAATTGGCTGATTGACTGGGTTTGGGCTGCATGTACAGCCAAGGCAAACCTGAAGCAGCATTAGGAGTTGATGGGAATTTTTGTTCTAATGTAATCGTTTCTGCTAAGCTTCCTTTACGGTTTCCAATTTGCTCTCAAGTTAACTATGGAGGTTGAAGTTAGATGGTCCCGTCATTGTTCAGGGTATTGGGTTTGTTTGCAAACAGGAATTGTGGTTTTCCTTTCCATTTGGATGGCACTGTGCACTTTTCAATGATAATTTATATGGATGGGGCGGTTTGGTTTGTAAAGGAAGAAACTCTATCCTGATATCAATCCAGTGCAGGGGAGACATCTCACAGTCTAAGAACAGCTGCCATTTGAGTTTTGTTTTTCTAGCCACAAGGAAGATGGGGTAGAATAACCCTGGGCTTTGAAGTCAGAAAGAACTCATTCATGTGTTCATTTATTCAGCATATTTTCTTTTTTTTTAATTTTATTTTATTGAGTTTTAGTCAGTTTACAATGTTGTATCAATTTCCAGCATAGAGCACAATTTTTCAGTTATACATGAACATATATATATTCATTGTCACAATCTTTTTTGCTGTGAGCTACCATAAGATCTTGTATATATTTCCCTGTGCTATACAGTATAATCTTCTTTATCTATTCTGTATATGCCTGTCAGTATCTGCAAATTTTGGAATCCCAGTCTGTCCCTTCCCATCCCCCGCCCCCTTAGCAACCACAAGTTTGCATTCTATGTCTATGAGTCTGTTTCTGTTTTGTATTTATGTTCTTTCTTTTTTTAGATTCCACATATGAGCGATCTCATATGGTATTTTTCTTTCTCTTTCTGGCTTACTTCACTTAGAATGACGTTCTCCAGGGACATCCGTGCTGCTGCAAATGGCATTATATTGTCGGTTTTTATGGCTGAATAGTATTCCATTGTATAATTATACCACATCTTCTTTATCCAGTCATCTGTCGATGGACATTTAGGCTGTTTCCATGTCTTGGCTATTCTGAATAGTGCTGCTATGAACATTGGGGTGCAGGTGTCATCCTGAAGTAGGGTTCCTTCTGGATATATGCCCAGGAGTGGGATTCCTGGGTCATATGGTAAGTCTATTCCTAGTCTTTTGAGAAATCTCCATACTATTTTCCACAGTAGCTGTACTTATTCAGCATGTTTTCATTGAACTCCTCTGTGCTAAGTACTGTGTGAGGCTCTGGGGATTCAGCAACAGATTGACAAGCTATTTGCTCCCACAGACATTACAGCTTACTAGGGCAGTGGAGGCAGAGGGAGCAGATGATGAACATGTAAATATTCTTCAAATCTTGCCCTCTGTACTCTTTCTTTTTTCTTTCTATCTCTCTCTCCCTTTCTCTCTTTTTCTCTCTTTCTCTCTTTCTCTCTCTCTCTCTCTCTCTCTCTCACTTT